ACTTCAATTTTATATAAAATAAAAACATCTACAATTCATTAAGCCCATCATAAATGTCTTTATCGATGTGACCACATATCATCTGTGGTGATCCTAATAAATTTAAAAAAAAAATCTCGCACTGATAGTACTGCTCTCCATCACCACTTTTCGGGAATCGGAGTCTGGGATTTTTAAATGGAGATGCTTACCGCTCTAATATTCACTTATTTATGGCTGTAACACGAGTTAGTCGGGTCATCCGGTCTAGGACCAAGCCCTCACAGAATACCAGCGTATAATATCAGGTGAATGCTGTTGTGTTGCGTATGGTGAGCGAAGAAAACCGGAGATTATTTTTACTGGAAAGAGGGCTTTCCATTTAAATCCTCAAGGCCCTTCATTATGATTTTAATTTGAGGTTAGATGTAGGTAGGTCTATGATATCGGATGTCATGTAATTGATCAGCATCCACTTAACATCAGATGGACTGTTAGTTTGTAATCCTTATCCTACTTATCCTATAAAAAAGCTCCATTACAGACGGCATCCTTGTCCGTACACTATACATAATAATACATAAGTAAGAAGTCTTGACTTAATCATGTTAGCGTTATCAAAAATAGAGTTTTTTCTAAAACAATTTCATCCATTCATTACAGCCTATAAAAGTGAACTTCTGAACATAGGTCTCGCTCATAGGTGGCCTCATGGGAGGATATTGCCATACTTGCCACGCTTGTGCGCCACAGTTTTTTTATTATTTTTAGTTGTTATCAGGAAGATGCTGCTGCCCATTTCCTGTACAATTTTCCCACTAACGCCTCTTACGACATCCACGGAACGATATGGGGTACTGGATGTTCTTACACCGTCAATACACGGTTTCTACAAAAGTTTAATAAAAAATTTAAAAACTGAAAAATAGCTTTTACTTTTTTTAAATTGTATAAGGTTGAAAAAAATTGTGATAGAGCCATTCTGCAGTTATATTAGTAGTAGAGCTGTTGTAGCATGATTGGGTCGGCTCTACCGGGGATGGACCACGCTCTCACAGAATACCAGCGCAAAATACAAGCTTAATGCTGTTGTGTTTCCTACAGTGAGTGTAGAGAACCGGAAACCCTTTTTACTGGAAACGAGGCATTCCTCACGGATGACAACACATCTGCAATTTGATTCGTAATCGAGGATGGATGTAGATGTCTATAGGCCACAGCAACCACTTACCATCAGGTGGACTGTGTGCTCGTTTATCACCCTATCCCATAACAAATAAGCACCAACATCTGACTTTTTCTTTGATTACAATGTGTGTATCTTTAAGGCAGAAGTGAATGGGCTTTTAATAAACTGAATCAGTGTGCTTTACTGTGTTCATCTGAATACTTTTATTTGATGGAATAGTAATAAAGCACTGCACTACACTGAAGCAAAGAATATTTTACTTATAGGAACCATCTAGGTACTACCGCATCTAAAAGTTCACTGATGAACATACGCCTCTCATGTTGTTTCATAGGACGGACATTGTCATAGTTGGCACGCTTGGCAGGCAAATTGGCAGCCACGCTTTATTTTACATATGAGTTATCAAAAATATGCTGCTACCGCTCTAATATTTTGGTTTTCCTCTGTTGTTTTTTACGACATCCTGGGGAATGGGATGGATATTCCTTCACCGCCACTATTCTGTAAAGGAGAGGATGAGGCATACAAATAAAAACATTATGTCATTGTTACACAAATATTTATTTCTCGCTTACACAAAAATACACAATGAAAGTTCCATGCGAAAGTTATTAAACGCTAAATGAAAGAAATCACAGATGAAATACTCCCAAGACTTAGTATCATGTTACAATAACTTAGTCAAACAATTTATTATACATAATATGTGGCAGTTAAACTAATAAATAATAATCACAGTTTTAGTAATAATGGAAATTCATCACGAAACTAAATTTAAATAAACATACGACACAATTTATTCCATACTCTGACCGGCTGAAGCGTTTGATTGTGTGCGTCGCAACATCTTATCTTTATTTAAGTATAAAACCTTTTTCTTTTCGACGAATTAATTTTTTTCCACTTTTATCACAGCGTTCCTATATTTTAATACTTAATTTAAACCCCTCCCCTCCCCTCTTTTTATTTTATATAGGTGCCCCTCAAGGCACACTTTTAGCACACCTTTCTTTTAAATTATATACGCATTCCTTCTTATTCCGACAGCGAAATAAACTTTAATTAAATCGTAATTGTAAATGAGACAACAGAAATTCCACATATTTTTCAACACATTAATGATTTTAGAGTACAACACAGTCAAAGAAGAAGAAGCAGCAGAAATTTGAAACTTTATTGCAACTTGATTGACCGAATCGTTCTCATAACAAAATTCTTAAATGCAATCACAAAGACACGTTTCAAATCCTGTTTCAGTCAATAGTTCGAGTCAAATGTCAAGTTAAAATAAGTTTCGTTCTTGAAATACTAAAGGTTTCAACAGTTGGTTTTCAAACTACATCCATAGAAAAATATGTATAGCGACATCAAAAAGATTACACGGTACAGTTTTAGGACTAACTACAATAAGAACATCAAATATACACGGTGACAACATTTATGTAGATTTAATAAATCAACAGTTTACTTCTGTATTATATACTGATTATATTATAACGATATATTTGGACAGATGAAGAATTTCACAATTACAAGGGGTTCTATTTTATATTTACGTTCTACATTGAAACTTTCAGTCTCGAAGATTTAGTAAAAAATTAATAAGAAATCTAATAATTTATTATAAATTAAGTTACCAATAGTTATCCAAAAATAAATATCATTAACTCTTTTTAGTATGTGTTACAGATAAAAATAAATTGATTGCATTTTAGTATCTCGAGTTGATAAAACAAATAAGAAAATATATAAGTACGAGTAGTTAGGAGAGCTGGCTACGCAACGCGGGGAACATCAACTGCTTACAGATACCTAACGACAATTTTACACAACACTGATTTTTACGCCATAACTTTGTTGATAGTCTGACTTTCGTCAATTGATACTTTAAACATCATAATGTTTTCTGATAACTCTCAAATGAAATTCTAAAAAAAATACATTTTTCATAACATTTCGTAAAAATCTACACCGGCGTAGAAACATTTTTTTTAATTCCTAGAAGACTTCACGATATTTTTAATCAGCGCTAAGCACAAGGTTACATCTTTTTTTTTTCAAATATAACAGAACGATGGCCTTACGTAGATACAACAGAAGATGATATGTCCTAGAAGCCGTTCCAAACTCTATCAAAGCGGTGTACCTATTAATATTCCAGTAGGAACGGTTAGTAAGCCAGTACAAGCCGTCTGTGGTCTTCTTCTGAAGGTGGCTGCAAGTGCCACTTACCATCATTGAACTGCTAGCTCGTTTGACACTTTAATACTAATAAAAATCACTACTACTTCTATTGTGTAGTACTACAGTAGTACTACACAATAGAACAAAATGAAACATAGAACGTTTTTAATGGCACAAATTAAGTAAGTTTGAGTCGGTACACTCTAATGCGTTTTGCAAACGACGAATTCTCGGTGTCTCTTTTAGTGTACATAATATTACTTCAATAGTTTACACTTCAATAGGTTATAGAAGTCTACGTAAATGTGATGATGAAAACGTTGATAGTAACGACGATAGAGATAAAACTAAAATTAACAGTCAAGAGAATCTTTCAATATTTTAGAGATCCAACAACAAAAGCTATTTTACTTTAATCAAAAGCCAGATCATCAACAAATTTATTGCACAAGAAATACATTCCGCTACATCGAATATTTTATCATACGCGCGTAACATATCGACGCACGATACACATTGCATTGACAAGGATAACTTCGCCCCCAATAAATTCGTATTCAAGCTATCGTTCACTCATTCGTAGTGTCTGACAGAATCTTCGGCTTAGGATTCGGCCGCATTCGGTCAAAAAAACCACCTGCAGCGAAACTTTCGGCTTCCGCTTAAAATGGGCCGAAGTTTTGTCCAAAGCCGTTTCTAGCAAGTGCCGAATGGAACGAACTGGTACGAATGAGCGAGAACGCGATAGAAGTGGCGAAGAAATTTTTATCATCTCTAGATCATCTACACACAGAGATGATTCAAATTACCTTTTTATATTAGGGTGCTACCACACCGATCGATCGATCGTCGACCGATGCCATTGATCAACGTCGACCGATACTGATCAACGGATACTGGGTTTTCTTTTGGTTTTTTCTTTGGTGCGTTTAATAATAAATACTGTCGATAAAACATTGTTCAATCATTGTTCGACGTCAATCGACAATTAATCGATGTAGTGTCTAATCATCAGTATCTTTCAAAATAGAAGGAGCTGCGCGGGTATTCGAATAATCAGGCAGCTCGATCGACGTCGACTAATCCTTTCTACCATCAATCGATAACATCTATTGATCGGTGTGGTAGAAACTATCGATCGACGATCAATCGATGGTGTGTAGTAACACCCTTATACAGTCGATATAAACCTTATTCTAAAATTATATGTTACTAATTTTAGCCGATCTTGAACTGAATATCCTAGGGTTTTTAAGCCTTCAGCTTTTATATAGCCTATTAATAGGCTTCGGTTTTAGTTTCGGCCAGAAATCAACCTTCGGTCAGATGTTACTCAATCGCAAGCAATACACGAACACATATAGAAACCGATACGAATCAGTTTTCAAAAGAAATAATGGCAAGTTCACAACTTTCAACGCAAAAGTAACGCCTGATAATGTAATTTATGTAGCGTAGTTTGCATTAGACAGAACAATATATCAGTTTAAGAACAACGTCTCGTCTAACACTCTTAGAACTACAGCTGCCATTAATCAAACAGATATTGCGTTGGACTTTTTTCAACGCGGTACATAACGGCGAGATTAAATCAGATAAATATAATTCCGTCGGTTCCAGTTAGCTTTCTAGTACTTTCTAGAATTTATTTCTTCCCAGCGTGTTTCTTGTTACGTCCCTGTTTGATCACCTGAACCAATTTCACCTTCTGTGCTTCGGGACTTTCCATGTATTCGGAAAGCATCTGTGAATTTAAGGTTAGTAAATTTAATCATACATTTGAAGCTATTTTTTCAAATAATATAGCACGTGAGGGTAATATTGTCACTTTCTCAAAACTTAAAAACTATAGCCTTGTTTGCATAGACGAATATGTACTCGTATGATACAATAGCTTTTCATCAGTCAATCAAATAATAAAGAATTAAAAGGGCTCTGCTTTATCGACGCCATTTTTACAGGTGACATTATATTAAATATTTCGGTTGTTTTTAGTATTGTGTAGTGTAGTTAGTTTTTTTAAGTAGATTTTGCGAAGTGTTCCTTATTATTGCCAAAGCTTGTTTGCTATTTTTTTTTCTTAATATATTAGTTGTAGTATGCGACTTTATGTTTTTGTCTCTGTCCACCTACTAGTTTTTGTTTTATAGTGCAGCAAAGATTAAGGTGACCATATGACCGGCCAGTCTCAAAAGATATTACAGTAAAAGAGTGTATGCGCAAGTTCAAACGCGCTCTCTAGACCCTCACATTCATAGTCTGATTGGGCAGTTATCCAACATGATTGGAGGTCAGGCGCAAGACCAAACAGCTTAACGTTCTTTCCGAGGCACGTAGGTAAAACACCGCCAACATTCCTGACTCCGTGCTACTGAGAAGTTCTTGACAGAAAAATGCAATAACAAATTTTGGCCCGACCGGGATTCTAACCCGTGACCGATAGTTGTCGTCGTCGCATTCAATAAGTAGTGTATAGTTATCTAGGTAAATATTATAAATGTATGCGCTAATACCAGAGCTCAATCAAGTTAATTAAATTGATATTGACGAATGTACGATAAACATACATGTTTAGTTCATTATATATTGTTTCATACATTCATATCGAATGTAATGCATATGAGATAGGATCGAAGGTAGTTTAAGATGTTAGAGACAAGAAAGCAGTCAAAACACGAACCTTAAAGAACAACAATTTACTTTAATATTGGCTCCGCCGAGATCCGAATTTAAAATTCTTGGGGCGTAGTAGTTGATATCCTAAACATTAGGCTATTGACTGGTTAATTGGTCTAGTGGTCCATGAGCGTCATTGCTGATGTAATCTAGCTAGGATCTAATCTAGAATTTGAATAGCTGATCATAATAAAAACAGTTATTGGGTTTTTGTCAAGAAATTCTCAGTAGCTTTCCGAAGACAGAACGTTGGTGATGTTTTAGCTCCGTGTCTAAAAAGCACGTTGAGTCGTTGGTCCTAGGCCAGATCTTTCTCTTGTCCTGTCGTGCTGTCGGTTACAATGCCCAAGCGCGCCTGAAGATGGTTCACATCAAAAAGGAAATTTGAAGAGCAGGATAAAGTGAGTTTACGACAATGGGCACTGACCTCGACGCTGACCTCGGCCGCGATGGCGGCGGCGGTGGCGGGGTGCTGTGCCAGCGCCGCCAGCGTGGGCAGCAGCGCGTGGCAGTGCGACCGCGACACCAGCCAGTTGGCCGGCAGCGTGCACAGCGTCCTGATCACGCTCCAACCCTCGCTAATTGTCTCCTGGTTGTTTTTTGGATAAATGCATATTTATTTTAAATTAAAAATTAAAAAAGTACTGGGAATGAGATGGTCGCTACCACGCTATTCTAATTTGTTTTGTGTTGTTAATTATGTAACGTATTAAACGATTGTAAACTGTTCCTTTTTTTAAAATCCCGGTGGGTTTCTTGCTACTTCTTCCCAGGACAGAGGTATTTCTTTATAGGAAAAGGGGCAAACGAACATGCGACTCACCTGATGGTAAGTAACTACAGTCGCCCATGAACAACTGCAACACGAGGGGATTTGCAGATGCTTTGCCGGCCTTTTTAAAGGGAGAAGGCTCTTTTTTGAATGTCCCTAAGTCGTATTGGTCCCGAAAAATCTCTGGTGATAGTCGATTCCACAAGGAGGTTGTAAGAGGAAGAAAACTTCTATTAAATCGCAGACTGGTGGACCGCCAACCATCCAGATGGTATGGATGGTATCGCGAATTTGTGCGGCTGGAATTAGTTCGAACAATTCCTTAGAACCCTCCCCGTGGTAAATTTGATAAAATACACAAAGATATGCAACATCAAGCCGATCGGAAAGAGCTCGGTCACCGACGATTCGAACGACTCTGCGCTAGATGCGATCAAATGGAAGGAGCTGGCACTGGGGAGCCCCAGCCCAGAGATGGGAACAGTATTCCAGGTGAGGCCGATCCTGCGCCTTCTAAAGTTGCAGGCGGTGTGCCGGCATGAAATACTGTCCCGCTCTGCTGAGCACGCCAAGCTTTTTGAAGCCAATGGCCTTCTCTACCAAGTGACCACGAAACTAATACATCACTCGATATTTCGACGCCGGGGATTCCGATACTGGCTAAGGTCGCAGAACAAATAATAGTACTATGTACTAAGGCAATAAGGGGAGTGCCTTGAAACTGAGGAGATACGACGAAGGGGTTCTTTTAGCAGTAAACGCACAAGCTTGTGTCTTTTGGGAATTGAACTGGATTAAATTTAGGTGCCCCCAGGACACAAAGTTTTCCCGGTACTCTGCGACGATTTCCCGAGAAATATCGGAACGGCCGGTGTATAAAGCATCACCAGTGCTGTCGTACGCATAGCAATGAATGTTACCTGTTTGCAACATATCATTGATATGCAGAAGAAACAGCGTTAGTGAAAGCACGCAGCCTTGTGAAACACCAGCGTTAATGGGCTTGTAATCGGAGCATGCACCCGTCTATTACGACCTTGATGCTCTGATCTGCAAGAAAGCTGGTGATCCAATTGCACAATTTCTCGGGAAGATCATAGGAAGGAAGCTTCGTAAGAGGCTCTTTGTGCCAAACTCGATCGAAGGCTTTCGCTATGACCAAACTAACGTCCAACGCTTGCTCTACTGTCTTGGACTCTACTGTCTCCACTCATCTATGAGTTAGGTAAACCATGATATCACCAGCCAAACGACCCCGAAGGAAACTGTACTCGTGGTCACTAATCAGCTGGTGACTTCCTCCTCCGATATGTGTCTCTACGATATTAACCGCAGTATATTTCACCTAAGGATGCCTCGTTTAGAGGCAAAATACGTGTCGTATTATTGCCGGTGGTGTGTCCATCGTAGCGCAGTTGCGTTAGGATTAGTGGTAACGGTCATTGTGCATGAAACTGAGGAAAAGCAGGAGGTGTTCTTTAAACTAAATCAGACACCATATTTTAATTTATTACCCGAATCGTAGCTAATATTTATACGCGGTAGAGGCACGCTGCAGCTATTTTGTATATAAACGGGTTGACTCGACCGGGGCAGGACCACGCTTTTCATGCTACTGTGTTTCGTATGGTTGGTGTTAAGAACCCGATACCCTTTACTTACTGGAAACGAGGCAATCAATATTAGTCGCCAGGACTAATTTTTATTCTTAGCTGTGGATAACTGTAGAAGTCTATGGGCCACAGCATCCACTTAACATCTGGTGGACGGTGTGCCCGTTTGTCACCCTTATTCTAGTTAAAAACATTAACATCTTTAACATGTCATAGGTCCAATGGATAAGTTAAAGTGGCTATGCAATTGGCTGGCTGGTGGCCTCGTACCGGCAAGCAAAGTGTAAGGTACTAGGTACTAGGAGGAGCGACAACCTGATGCAGGTGCCTGAACCAGATGCAGGAAGTTTCATTATTTCAGTCTGATCGTTAAAAACCTTGTGGAGTTGCCACAGCTGAATAAAGCTATCCCGCAAGGAATGCCACAAAACAAGGATCTGAGCCACCAACATCAATCTTCATGTCTTATCATATTCTCATACTCTGATACGTTAAAACTTTGCAAAATCTCTAAATTTATATTTTAAGTTACATTTAGTACTAGCGATCAGGGTACTTCGCCTTGGTAGGATCTATTAATTTAGCGTTATTTAGACTTAAGATAGGCATCAAAACCCATTTATTTCATCATTTTTTTTTGCTTTCTCAACAAAAGTTCACTCACTTTTGTACGTAGTAAAGGCATGGTGCAGTTATATTAATAGTATATTTGTAGCACGAACGGGTCGGCTCGAGCGGAGAGAGACCACACTCTCACAGAATACCAGCGTAAAATAATAGCTTAATGTTGTTGTGTTTCGTATGGTGAGTGTAGAGTACCGGAGACCCTTTTTACTGGAAACGAGGCATTCCATCTTAGTCCTCACAGGTGACAACACATCTGCATTATGATTCGTAAACGAGAATAGATTTAAATGTCTATGGGCCACAGCAACCACCTACCATCAGGTGAACTGTGTGCTTGTTTGTCACCCTATCCTATAAAAAAAATCTCCCCTAGATCACTCACTGTCACTCTCTATCTTTTCATGAAGTTAAACCGGTTCGACCGGGATTTCTTCTTTTATTTAATTTATTTCCCAATGACATGCAAATAATAAAATCAATAAATCCCTCAATATAAGGCAGTTATGTATTTCTATATAACAGACATACCCTTTAATTTTATATACATACATACATACATATATATAGAAGATGTCTAGTAAAAGTGTACAACTTTACAAGTAAACTCTTCATTACATCTATGGTCGAACGCATCTGTCGCGACAAGCAACCTAATTGATTATTAACTAGGAAACGACATAAATTATTCACCGTAATGGTCAGCCGCCCCAAATGCGAACACCGTATACAAGAAACAATAACGGTCCTAGAACACTTCCCTTAACAACTGCTAACTTAGATACACCTGTGCCCGTGGGAACTTCTTAAGTAGTAGTGTCGTTACTTAAAGGGGCCAAAATGGAACGAACGCAGGAATTTCATTTTTTATTTATGCTCTTGTAAGTCTGAGCTTTTTAATCGACTTTTCTTATACTTAGATAAGTAATTTTATGAATACAGCGGATGTTAGTGAATAAATTTTAATATTAAGCTCCATTGTTCTTCCAAATAATAGGAGATATGCAATGGAACTATATTCATATTATACGTGGTAGAGCCATGCTGGTCATATTAGTAGTATAGTTGTAGCAGGAATGGGTCGGCTCAACGGGGGAAGGACCACACTCACATAGAATACCAGCGTAAAATAGCATCTTAATGCTGCCGTGTTTCGTGTGGTGAGTGTAGAGAACCGGAGACCCTTTACTGGAAACGAGGCATTCCATCTAAGTCCTCACAGGTGACAACGCATCTGCATTTTGATTCGTAATCGAGGATGATGTAGATGTCTATGGGCCACAGCAACCAGTTACCATCAGGTGGATTGTGTGCACTTTTGTCACTCTACAAAAAGAAACCTATAAAAAGAAACTTTTCTGGTCTCTCACTTTACTTTTATGTCTTTGCAAGAGAAAATTTTATTTTTAAAATTCACACAAAATATTGACCTTTTAATTTATTTATTTAACATTAGTTACATACACAGTTGTCTATAATTTATAGAAAAAGCAAACTATACTTCATAGAAAAACCATATCATGGAGTGGGCGACAGAGGGAAACAAATCTGGAGATGGGCAGGGTCTTCCTCTAAGAATAAGCCCGCTTGCCGAGCGTGGCAACTGTGGAATATATTCCCTCTATGAGACAATCTATGGGGGAGGTCTATGTCCAGCAGTGGACTTGGCTGTGACGGTGTAACGGAGTGAAAAAGATTATTAAATTTGACATAAAATGTTTGCGATAGTAAAATACTTTTTATTCATTTATTTTACGTAAGTACAAGTATGCAAAAGGCAAATTAAATATAATCTTGATCCTTTTTTTACAAAATTATAAAAACTTAACTGACGAATTTAATCGCCGGTAACTATTTGAGGTATCTAAGTAGCAAGCAAGAGCAATGGAAGTTGACACTCAAGTAAGTTGAAATACTTTTATTAGCTGTCAAAGCGAAACTTTTCTAAAGGAATTCAGAGGGATTATTAACTAACGTCTTAGTTTCTTGGTGTTTAAAACAACCTACTTTTAATACCTATTACTAAAAATAGAAAATTCTAAGAATCATGTCCAGTCTTGACCTGAAATTTTTTAACACGTCTAGTGATGTAAAATATCTTATAAAATTGCATATTTTTTGCTTATTTCGTATCGCATAATTGAATTTTCAAATAAGGCTAGGAAAAGAAGTAATGTTACTATATTTATCATTCTCAATAGACTTTTGGAGACGGAACATATTTTAAAATGGCTCAAAGGCCCAGAAGCCTTGCCAAAATTTACTTAAATTAAAAAAATTAAAAAAAAATCAGACTACGAAAAACTTGTTCATTCATCATGTGGTTGAATGTTCAATATAACCAATTAATAATAATAATAATAATTTAATTGTTTTTTATACCTTTTTATTTATGATTTGATGCGATTTTTATGGTTTTATACTATGGTGTGGAAAGAAAAATAAATGTACAATCCTTATCTGACAGCTGTTATAACCTGAAAAACTTATTTACTTAATATAATTTTTCCTTGGTCTCTAAATGAAAATATGATAAGTTATTATGTTATTATAAACAGTAATTGTTTTTACACACCACTAGTGTAGACGCGACCTGTTAAAGGAATCAAGTGACAGATCAATCAATGTATGTAAAGTGCGCATTACTCTTTATGTATTAATTTGTTAATTATGATGTTAATTATCCAATTGCCAATCGGATTGCTTAGCCATTGAGCACGTGTTCAATCAGCACTTAACATTGAAATTAACAATTTCATTGTTGTCGTGTCGACGGGGATTAAACCCAGGTTGATCATATCTTTGAAATTTTTGGCGAGCACTTAACATCCTTACGGCTGTGAAATGGTTATCTGTTAATCATACGCGTGTGTTGGCGCGTTCACTTGTAGCACTATGATAAATCCAGCGCAGTTGACAGATTGAGACACTCGAACGTTATGACCGTGATTGAAAATCAGCTAGGAGGACGTTATTAAAATACCACTTAATAATTTTTTGATTAAGATAACAGTTTATGTTGACGGTGTTTGTTGGTGGTTACCGTGTAGTGGCGGTTGAGAATATCCACTACCCCATATCTTCCCGTGGGTGTCGTAAGAGGCGACAGAGGGAGACAGGCAGGAGATGGGCAGCAGCATCTTCCTGATAACGACCTTACAACTACTTTAACGATGTTAAATATATAGAAATAAACTGCCGGAAGTTTTCTATACTTTAGCACATTAATGAGAACAAACAAACAAACAAGACAAGAATTTTGATACATTCACCAGTACACGTGTAACGCAGGTGGGGCCCGCATGGGAACGTAACTGGCGTCCGACTAATAAATATTCGATACGATGGTCAACGGATATTAGATTTTTTTAAATAATACGACCGCCGCTGTCCCTCACTTGGTCTTGGTGATATCCTATACCTTTTAACGAGCAAATCTTATATACAATGTGTTCGGTTACCGGTGTCGGAGCTTTAAATGCTATAGAATATAAACAATTTCATCGACAAATCATGTCTCAAATCGCATTTAGACCTAGCTGTATTTAAATGGCAGCCATTTAAATTTTTCAGTGTCACCACCTCGACGTTAAAAGATGTCTCATTAGATAGATAAAGATACGCGTAGTAAAATAAAAGCAAACTTTTAACTGCAAAATTGTATTTAGATCCTAAAAAGAAAAAATGTAAAAAAAATCGGTCATTTATTCACATTTTCGACTTTAATGAAAAAAGAAAGTCATTTACCTAATGATTTTTTACATTAATCAGATAGATCAGAACATTTCCTAACCAAAAACATAAAAATCTTAGTGCACTGGTTCGCGTCCTGTCTCTGGTCCGACTTTTTTTCTTTTTTTTTTCAAGTTCCCTTCATTTGTGAGAAAATCTATTATATCGAGCCCTTTTTTTAGTATTTTTTTAAAAATACGAAAATTTTAATTAAGCTAATTGCACTCATACTTTTTATTCAAATAACCAGTTCATTTTTTTTTATTATGTCAATAAGATCAAAAAATATTATTCATGTTTCATCAGTATGTAATTTGTATCTAAATATAATTTCAAACAAAAAACCCCGAGGAAAGCTCGGTCATCCAGGTACTTATCAATTAAAGTGCAAAAAGTCTTTATCTGGTTAAAGACAAAGAGTCACACATACTCTATGATGGAAACCCCAGGCAAAGTTTCGACACTGGTATCATTTTATTGTGTACAAAGATTGTCATAAGTGTTCACGCAATGAAAACTTTACTCAGTATTCCAAGGAAATTCTTTATAGAATGACACACATGAATATTTACTGAATATTGAGTCGCGAATACCAGTAGTAATTAATTTGCAAAAAAAACGGCTTCGATTTAGATTTTAATTCAGGATCCTAAACAGAAATAACTTTTTTATTATTGTTTATTTAACGGCTCCATAGCGCAGTGGTCTATCAATGAGTTGTAGCGCTGAGAGCTACGGGTTCGGACCCCGCACGAAACAAATATTTGCATAGCCCACAAATAATTGGTTAAATTAATCATTGTGGTCTGCATGTTTGTCCTTATAAAATTTATGTACGTAAACTATCTCCACGATACAGGAAAAACTGCTAGAGTAGGGGTAACGTTACACTCGCGTTTTTAATATTTTATTGTTACTAATTTTGAGATTGCGAGGCTGGCATATTTAGATAAATCTTTAGAGATATGCCAGCTTTACGATCCCTATCTAAGAGACTCACATCTGAAGATTTGTGACGAGAAATTCATAACATCCTACGATAACTGCATGACAGTATAGTTTGGGATAGACTCATGTTATTATGGTAAAATTTTAGTTTCGTCATTAGCAAGTCTGTTTTACATTTATATTTGACATACTCCATTAACATATGTTGGGTATGCTCTCAAAACTACATCTTTTATGTTGACGACAAAACAGTTATTACACACATTCAGCCATTGGTCTGGATTTAAATCAAACATGTACTCGTATAGTGTGACGATGTCAGATGTCCACTGCATCATATCATCCTGTCGGCGTCGCAATGGGCGACAGATAGAAAGCAAACAAGAGACAGGCGGAACGTCTTTCTGATATCAATTCAAAAATAATGAAAAGTTGCGGTTGTCAACTCGCCTGTCGAGTATAGTAACAGAAACAGAAACATTTTTATAAGTTTTTTCTAACTTTTTGAAAGTCACTTTTTTAATTTACCACCGGTTCGCAAAAAACACCTCTGTCCTGAGAAAAACCAGCAAGACACCCAGCGGGACTATTTTTTTAAAATAACAGTTTACAATCATGTATGCTACAATTAACAACACAAAACAAACTAGAAATCTTGGTAGCGATCACCCTTCCCAGGGGTTATTGTCATCCATAAATTCCTTAATACTATAATTACTCTTTTTATACAAACTTAGTTTAATAAAGCTTTTGAACTTTGCAGATGATAAATTTTGTATATTTTTTGTGATTTTGTCGTAAAAAGCGTATTATACATCGCCCCAAGAATGTATTACTGTCTCGGTGGAGTCGAGTGACGGATATCTCCACTACCTTATGAGGCATTCTATGGGGGAGGGTTATGTTCAGCTTTGAACTTTCAATAGGCTGTAATTAAAACAATGATATAAGGTTACAAGTATAGTGGTTATGTAGAAAATCTCTACCTTTTATCAACCCGTGGATGTCGTAAGGATCGATAGAGACATAAAGAAGATAGGCAGTAAAGCCTTCCTGATAATAAAACAGACTACAAGCGTCGAAACTATAGTATATAGTTCAACCTCCCCCAATCTATTCAAGAAACCCATGTTCTGCAGTGTATTTGTGATGAACTGAAAGAATGATATATAACATAGACAGAATAAACGATATAGATATAAATAAGACGGCTCCGTGGCGCAGCAGCTTAGCAATGAGTTATAGCACTGAGGACCGCGGGTTCGAAATCCGCACGGAACAAGTATTTGTGTGGCCTAGAATTAATTGTTCCGGGTCAAGATGTTTTTCCTTGTGCAATTTATGAATGTAAACTGCCTCCACGATACAGGAGAAAATCCTAGTTTGGGGGTAACGTTTTTAAAAAAAACTTAAAAAAATTATATGAAAAATCGTCAAGGTGTTTTAGAACAAATTTGAAACGTCGCTAATAAGCTTTTTTTATTCGTACGCAATTCCACACATTTTTTACCTGGACAGGACCTAATTGTGAAATAAATAAATAAAACCACTCACCTGTAGCTGTGGGTTGTTGACCACGACAAAACCGACGAGGACAATCAGGTCCAGCACCATGGTCTCCGATAGCGTCTGATCCAGACGTTGGTTGCTTAGGCCTTGGGCAAAAAATATTCACATGATACAATATTTTTAAGCATTACAGTAAAAAAGATAGTTATGATTGAAAATTTCGACAATACTGAGGACGGACGAAAAAATTTAATAATAACATCAGTCGACCAGTCTCGAACGGAGAATACATATGCGTGGGACAGGATTATAGTGCCCGAGTGTATACGCAAGCACAAGTGCACTCTCTATTCCCTCACTCTCATAATCCGATGGGACGGTAAACCGACACGAGCGGAGGGATATCAGACTCAGGACCAACGGCTTTATGTACTTTCCGGCGCTCTACGGTAAAACACCGCCAACTTCCTGACTCCCGGCGGCTACTGCGAATTTCTTGACAGAAAAACTCAATAACTGATTTTGGCCCGACCCCAGATTCGAACCCAGGACGGACCTTATGATCAGCAGTTGCGTTTACGACCACAAGATCGACGACTCAATAAAAAAATGCGTTAAATAAGAAAAATTGGCATAGAGGCTTGGAAGGCAAATGCGGGCGACGAGATATTTGAAGAATCGCCTTGCACAGCAATTCTTCAAAGTTTATTAATGGTATAAGAACGAATACGAGATAAACAAAGAAACAGAAATAAGTACACACACGCACGCACGCACGCACGCACTCATCACATCTTATAGAATTAACACGTTTGCAGCACGAATGGGTCGGCTCGACCGGGGACCACTTTCTCACAGAACACCAGCGTCAAATAGCAGCTCAATTCAATGCTGCTGTGTTTCGTATGGTGAGTGTAGAGAGCCGGAGACCCTTTTTACTGGAAACGCGGCATTCCATATTAATCTCTCAACCCTCAAGGGTGATATCGCATCTGCATTTTGAGTCTTAATCGAGGATAAATGTAAATGTCTATGGATAACTCGTTTTTGACACGGAAAAAAATATTATTTAATACTTATCCTTACATATATATTTACAGCGAGCGTTAACCATCTTAGGTACCTAGGTAGGTAGCTCAGATGGTTAACGCTCGCTGTAAATATAACAGAACGCGAGTAACCCGGGTTCGATCCCCGCCGGTATCACTGAAATTATTCATTGCAATTGTAAGTGCTGATTTACCACGTGCACGGCGGTGAAGGAAAACATCGTGAGGAAACCTGCATGTCTGAGGAATAAGAAAAAAAATATTTCGAAGACATGTAAAGTTCGTCAACACGCATTGAGGCCGCGCGGCGGACACTTCCTTGCCCTACAACCCTCTCATAAATGAGGAGAGGCCTGTGCCCAGCAGTGGGACGTATATAGGCTGTAACTTTACTTTTTACTTTACATATATGTTATCATCTGTATAAGTATGGTAATAGCCGATTGTAGCACTTACGCAGCGGTGTAGTCCGGGGCGCTTCCTTATCGTTGGGTGCATGCTGTGAGAGTAATCTGGCTACAGCCGCTCGGAACTCCAACGGCCAACCACCCTCGCCGAACGCCTCCTACGACAAATTAATATTCATCATCATCATCATCATCACAGCCCTTCACAAGTCCACTGCTGAACATAGGCCTCCCCCAAGTACTATTTAAATATAAATTAATATAATAAATTAATATTAGACTTTAAAAAACCTTGAAGAGAGAGAGAGAGAGATTATTGCATTTATCCTGGTGATCCTGATCAGGATACAAGGATAAAATTATTAAATTATTGTATTTCCATCGTTCCTTGATACGAGTGCAAATTTTCAAATCAATCGGCCGTCTACAAGTTGGTGAAAATTATATCAAAAGATTCGTTACATAAATGCACTCGAAGAAACAGTTAAAAAAATAAGGTTACCCCATGCTGCCCTTCCTTCGGACATTTGTGCAGCGGGCAATGGGTTAACCAAACATGGCATTTGTATCGGTGTGTTCCTATTTTGATAGGTATATGTATATATTTGATGCTTGACAGAGCCACGCTGCAGCTATATTATGGTTGTAGCACGAATGAGTCAGCTCGACCGGGGAAGGACCGCAATCTCGCAGAACACCAAAGTGAAATAGCAGTTCAATGCTACTGAGTTTACTGGAAACGAGGCATTCCGTCTTAGTCCTAGAGGGCGCCAACGTATCTGCATTTTGAATCTTAATCGAGGATAAAGGTCTGTGGGCCACAGCGTCCACTTGCCATCAAATGTACTATGTGCTCGTTTGTTACCCTTATTCTATGAAAAAAATACATTGCAATAATAAGTTTGTCTCAGTGCTTTTGATGTAATATTAAAACACATGATTCTCGCAACATTTCTTTATTGCACGGATGTTGCTACGCTCCGTTAATCTCTTGAATGGTACAGATAAAGTTCAGGGGTCAGGAAGCGGTCGGGTCAGGGGTAACAAATCTCTAGTTAGGCATTCCGTGCACTCACGCCGCTGGGTCACGCGATGCGCAGATTGTTTTGGATTGAGTTTCATGTGTGGTGGGCATTACATTTGGTTGGTTGGGTTTAATGTTGGATTCTGATTCTGATTTCTTGTCTTCCCTTTTCATTTATTCAATTCATGAAGGTAGCAACTGCAATGCTATGATTTACTTAAAAAAAATACAGTTTACTACTCTATATCAGATACTAACATAAACATTAGTTTATGGACATAGTTGAATGAATAATATACTATGTAGTATGCTGCAGCTATATAATGGTTGTAGCAAATTAGTCGCATCGACCGGGGAAGGACCATGCTCTCACAGAAAACCAGCGTAAAATAACAGTTAAATGCTGCTGTGTTTCGTATGGTGGTTGTAGAGAACCGGAGACTTCTTTTTATCGAAGGCATTCTATCTACATCCTCAGGGGTGACAAAGCATCTGAATTTCGATTATATATCGGGTGTAAATGTAGATTTCAATTGGCTACAGCATCCACTTACCACTTAGCATCAGGAGGATTTTGTTACCCCTTTTCTTAGAAAATTACCTACTCTACCTATATATATCATACACCGTTATGAAAACCTAATTTTCCAAATGTATGCCCGGTATCGAAATGTATGCCCGGCCTTTATTTCAAGAAAAATATCATGGCTGCCTCAAACAGTTATAGTAGAATATCTGTGAGGATTCGATTGTGAATTATCTTGTTTCTTGTTAAGAAAAGGCAGAAAAAGGTCAAAAATGTAAGAAAATATAGTGGCAGTGCTTCTGAATAAGAGGCCAGGAAGAGATCCAAAATACATAGTGGAAAAGGGCAGTAAAAAAGTTAGTTTGATTTTCGGTAAATATATATCGTCAACATGTATCTTATTTCAGTATTAAGTGAATAAAATTTTAACTTTCATTTATAAGTCCAAATAATTTGGTTAATGCATAATTTTTTTAATAAAATTGAAATTTAATTGATTTTTTTGTAAACCTAATATAAACTTTCTTTTAGATACGATACCCAAGATACCACCGACCGACCACAACGAGGCGGTCATTATAGCAAGCGGTATCAATGTTTGAACCTTTTTACGCACTAAAAATAAAACTACGACAGGATGCGTATTGTTACGAGCTTAAGGTTCGTGACAATAAAAACTGCCGATTGAATTACTAAAATTTACACTTTTATTAGAGAACACCAATTAAAACTTAACTAAAACTAAAGACACTAATAATTAATCACATAGATAATAAAGTGAATCAACTTTATTTCGCTCCGAAGCTTCGCTCGTATCGCCAATGTAGGCATGTCGATCTAAAATCGATTAATCGAAAAATCGATTATCTAGAGTAAAATAATCGATCTTTTAGACCGATTTAGAGCACCGCATCGATTCGAAGAATCGATCCAAAAACCTCTCGAATCGGACTGATTCATCTGATTCAAGAACTAGCGATAAAGTTCTTAAACTGGCTGGGGAAAGAAGTTAGAAACCGCAGTTTTTTAGTTTTTTTGCTGTTGGCGGACGCAAAAAGAACCAGTCGTACTTGGTTGATAATTTGAACGCAATATATATATGAATAAAATAAATATTTATGAACGTATCCAAATATATCGAAAAATAGTTTTTCATTTCTAAAACTCTAATTCTAATCTTGCCTGTGGAACGAAATGTGATACATGGAATCACTTTGTAAAAAAGGGATAGAATGGCGTATGCATGTAGTGTCATATCGAAGTAAAAACATGCGGAAATACAACAAATTTACGCAACCATTTATTACGAAGACATCCATGTATTAAGTCTGTCTAAACCGTAGACAGAGAAACCAATAGACAAATCGACGCCTTGTTTCGCATTCGCACACGACAAAGATAGATTTATGCATACGTCTTGCATACAAATGAGACAGAGCGGTGTGATTATTTGTTCCCTTCTCCGTGCCGGTTTTTTTATTTAGCAAACTACACTTTGCTAAACAATTTTGACAGTTCGTAGCGATCTAAGGATTTTTTTTTTCTTTTTTTTTTTTTTTTTTTTTTTTTTTTTTTTTTTTCCTGGGGGTCTGGTGGGGGGGGGAATTTAAAAAAAAAAAAAAAAGGGGGGATTGTTAATTTTTTATAATTAAATGGTGTCCCACCTTTTTTAATAAAAAAAAGAAAATTTTAAACTTTTTTTTCCTTTTTACCCGATTAATCGATAATCGATTCCACTATGTTCGATATTCGAATCGATTCAGAGATCGATTTTTTTAAGAGTGAATCGACATGCCTAATCGCCAATTCAATACGCCCCGATCGCGGCTTGCAGCGGCTTTAAATACACCTTTTCCACCGAAACATCCAGAATGTTCCAGCAAATACCGGTACCGACCGACTAAATGCAGAGAGTTCGAGAGTGGACCCTTCTAGAAAGCTTAATTCTTCTTTTCGATACTAGATGGCGCTGTTGGTGGAAAGTTCAAGATTGGCATTTTCTAGGAAGCCCTCCTCGCTCTGTTCCCCGACACTAGATGGCGCTAGTGCCAGGTACCAGTCATCAACTTAGGCGCGCAACAGTATTTATTAAAAAAATCACTATAAAAGATGTTAGAAGTCCTAGAAGTGTGCGCAAAAGATAACCTGTCCGGTATTGCACACAGTTGTTCCTAAGAAAGGTAAATAATAACAAGCCAATACAAAACGTTAAGAATTATCTTTTGCGATTTATAATCTGAACTCAATTTATAACATAAATAAATAACTACATAAAAATACATTTGTAAGATATTTTGTAGTTCGTACAAATAATGTGTAGCATTGAAAAACGCCTCCGTCTTGACAATTTAGAAGCAAATATGTACTGCAAATGGATGCTGTAAAGCACCCGAAACGTCGGGAATTAAAATTTTAAATAAAAAGAAATAAAACCTTTAAAAAAAAACTTCATTTAATGCGTAGTGTTCTCGTAAATATAAAAGTAATATATCATTAATATGATTTTTCTTAATTTAATAATCGCACAACAATGTTCTTTCTTAATTTATATAAAAAGGATTTTTCTATGTCACTCAAAAATTAATATCATTTTATCTTAGTTTAAGATTTTACGAACAAAGGCGTTTTTGCCTTTAAACCTCTTACTTGTGGTATATAGTGTTCTATGTAACGCCCATGCGATGAGAACGGAGGTAACTTTGAAAACAGTTTTGAAAAGTTATAATGCATTGGAGCCCGTAACAAACAATATGTATAATGATTTCTTAAATTTACGCGAACACAACACATTGAATAAAACTATTATTTACGGATTTTATCGCGTTTAATTACTTTAATTTATTTAACAATTTTAACGACATTTGATTTTAATAATTGCATCGAAACTTTAAACAAACGAGAAACATCAAAATACAATGAATGCAAAAATAAACAAATAGAAAAATACCAAAAATTAACGATCAAATCAAATGCCAAACAATAGACCTTCAACGTCAACGCCAGAACAATAAACAACCGTTGACCATAGACACAAACTATAAACAACGCACTGTCTGTAATTTGTCAAAACATACACTGGACGAACCGACAATGAAAGTATTAGCGAAGGGAATGAACTTCGCATTAACTCCGCGAAAAATCCCGTACGAAGAAATTATCTGCAGTGTTGAGGATTGTCTGTTTAAGAATAATATATGCCATACGTCAAGATATTTCGTCCTTGTTACGTCGCAGTTCAGTGCCGAAACCAAACCTTCCCAAAGACGAATTTACAGCGCTAAATAACTTACGGAACAGACCAGAACTCACGATTCTCCGCGCGGATAAAGGAAATGCTACGGTAGTAATGGACACGTCGGAATATAATTTTAAAATACAACAACTTTTATCGGACGAAAGTACATATAAAAAGGTCAAAACAGACCCTACAACTAACACGCTTAAAACAACTAGCGATTTAATAAAGAAATACTCCGAAAAATTAAATCTCGACGTGAATTCGCTAATACCATCATGTGCCAAACCACCGAGGTTGTATGGGTTACCGAAGATACACAAACCAAACGCTCCACTACGTCCCATAGTGAGCCAGATCGATTCACCAACTT